CCCGTACCCTCTGAGGGCACAGAGGGGCTGCGGGATGGTGGCAGGTCCCTTAGTCTTTGCACTGGTTTCCTGGAGAAGGGATTCCCAAATTATTGCTGCCTGGTCCCCACCTCCACTGCCGACGGTCCTCAGTGCTGCAGGAGGCAGCCAGCATCCCTCCTCCACCCCTTGCTTTCAGCTGGGGGGAATTTGGGGGGTTTGAGTTGGTTTTACCAGTTGAGACCACTGTTGGATGTAGGTTCAGATATCAGGATGCTTGTCCGCCTCACCGCGGGGCTGGGGCACCGCTTCCCAAGGCACAAACCTCTCCCAGCTGCCCCACGAGGACGTGCCAGCGCACGTGAGTTGGGATCCTCAGCCAACCACCGTTTTCCAGCACTGACACCATAATTGCTCCTGCTCTCGCAGCCAACACTGGGAACTGAAAAATCAGAGGCAGAAATGACGAGAGAGGGTTGGTAATTTTTTTTTTTATTATTATTATTATTATTCTAAGCTCATGATTTTGGAGGCAGCCTCCTACATTTTTTGGATGATGACTTGGATGTTTTGCACCCTTTCAGCCCAGCAATACCAAACAGCCACGTTAGAGAAAGAAGAGCAAAATATGTCACTCGTATCAGCTGTGACCTACCTGCCTTCGAGCAAGGGCTGGGATGCATTTTGCATCCAAATGCAGCCTATTTTTTTGCCAAGGGAAGAAAACCGCCCATGTGCAGGGTCCTTGACCCCACTTATCTCAGAGAGAACTGACCCTTCGGTTGCCAGTCCCACTCCCCACTGCTTCAAGCCTTTATTTGGGACTAAGCAAGACTCATCTCCACACACCCCCAGCAAATCCCAGCTGTGAAACACTTGGGAAAGTTGGGGTTTTTCCCAAAAAAAGCCTCTAGGCAATGGATGACCATAATTACCAGCTCACTGCTCCCTCTGGGCTCTGTGGCCCACACGTTCCCGAGGACTGTTAAAGGTCCATCTACGCGTTTTAATCGTGCAGTAACCAGGGCCGGTGTTTTTGTTGGACGGTGACCCAGCCTGCAGAGCACACACGCAGCTCTGAAGCTCACCCGGCCGTTGCGCGCCCCGTCCACGCTGCCACTTACCCACCGCGCGACGGTCCAACGCCGGCAGGTTTGCCTCCCTCCGTGGGTGTCGTGGGGCTTAATGAATGTTTCCAGCTCGCTTTGAAGATGAAAAACGCTGAGTGTTAAGTATTACTGTGATTTAGACGTGCGGAGCGGTTAGGGCTCGCTCATGCCATCCTTCCTGCAGAGCTCGAGCACTGCTCAGGTTTGCTTTTGCAGAGGAGGACTTGTGCTATTGATGTCTCTCCTCTGGAAGGAACCAAACTGGGACATTTTGGGTCCCTCCTCTAGAAGGACCCAAGCCAGGACATTTTCGCAGGTACCATAACGCTGCGAGCAGCTCTGCAGGCACTTTTTTTTTTTCAGCACGAGTTTCCATAGCTTTCATTAAACCCGATAAACTTAAGCTAAAGTAAAAAAAACAACCACCACTCCAGTCAAAATAAGGTTCTTGCTCCCTCCCCACCTTCTGTACCACTTAAAAAAAAATAATTGGTTGGATGTTACACTTTTTAAGCTGTAACAGTAGAACTTTCCCACGCTGCCTCTCCATTTAGCAGCTGACAAGCCAGACCTGTAATCACGATCTTTATCCCGAGACAAGCTAAAAAACAAAATGTTTCTGAAACGCTGAAGGTAGGTGAACATTTTCAGAGTGTCACATATTAAGGTTGTGTCTAACGAGCTCCATGTCCCACTTATAATTGAAACAGAAGAGAGTATTCACTTTTCATTCATTTTTAAAAGACTATTCAAATACCCTTTCATCTCTGCTAAACAGCCTGCCATGTATTTGAAGCCATTTTATATTTTGTTTCTACAGACATCCAAAAAACAGAGGTGAGTATTTTGGAACATTGATAGAAAGATGCAAAGGCTTGTGAGGCACTGAATGGCTTCAAGCTGCCTCAAACACATTCATCTTCCCAAGAAGAATTAGGCACAGTGTGATTCATTTTAATAGCAGAAGAAAAATAATACTACGATGTAGTGCTAAGTTCCCAACCTTTGATGGTAGACTAAAAAAAGAGAGAGAGGGAAAAAAATTACATCTTTCTTCCCCTATGTTGTTGAAGTCTCCCTACACCCATCCGTTATGTCCAGCTTATCAATTAAGATGAACCCCATGAACTTCAGATGGCTTTTTTAAAACAAGGCACCATCCATTTAAATGTGTAAAACTGCCTGCAGCTCCCTTGAACCGCAGGATTCAGTCCCGAGCTCTGTGTACTCGGTGTGAAGTTGAGCCCTTTGAGAGAAGTTTTACTGATGTTTTAAATGAAGTCTTCTCACACACACAAAATAACCCAGATAATTTAAAACCTCATAGAAAAAAATAGGGTGGAGAGAGAGGGGGAAAAAAAAAAAAAAAGAAACAACCAAAACCCTAGTCGGTGCCATTGGCGTAGCAAAAGAAAAGAAGCTGGCTTTGGTTACCAACAGGCCAGACCAAAAGCATTTCCACAATTGCTTTCCCAAGGTTACTCGCTTGAGCCAGGGAAGGTCTGGGCGACAGCTGGGAGACAAATCCATCCCTGGTATGGGCAGCTTCCCTCGGGAACAAATTAAGCTCGTTCAGCTATAAAATAGGTTTTGTACCATAACTACGGGTGAGAAGGAAGGCGCGGGTAGGAGCTCCCCGGCCTTTGTCCTGCTCAGCTGCCTCCATCAAATCTCCCCCCGCTTCACCTCGGCCACATGAGCCAGGACAGCCCAAAGCTGGGTTCTGCTCCAGCAGGTGATGCAGCTGAGCCGTCCCAGCTCCATCGCACCTGGGCAGGGCTGTGAGCACCCTCCTTCGCCCAGCGACGGAGCCCTCCGACGCGCCCTGGCTTTGCAGAGCTCCACCAGCGCGACCACCGCATCCCTCGGAACATCCCACCCTGGCTCCACCAACCCACTGCCAGAGCAAGAGCAAGTCCTCGCTCCTCCATCAGCCCCATCGGGCAGGCTGGGCCATGCCATCGCACCACGCTAAATTTGCTGCCGAGTTACCTAAAGGAGCTGTAAACGGTTTAATCGCTGCACTGAAGGGCAGCCCCAGCCTTTGCCTTCCCTGCTGGAGCTGAAACCGAC